ACCCCTGAAGAAGAAATTATGGTAGATGGGAAGATGAATGTGAAGTTATCATGCTGTATAGTGAAAGCCTGGCCATTAGTAATGCACAGTTCAGCAACTCAGTCCACTGTGAAACTGTAGCTTGTGGAATGAATATTTTTTGTACTTCATTGGCATCAAACTTTTCATTGTCTGCTGACCTACAAACTCACACCTGATACTGCAGGCCAGAACAAGCCTTTTATTCCACCAGTGAGTAATTGAAAGGTTCGCAAGGGCTGAGCAAGCACTATCAGTATATTTCTCAACATCACTTTTTAGAAGTTCTACGATAACATCAAAGCTAGACTATTTCTATCTGCTCGATAAAGCTGCTGCTGGGAAGGGAGATGAGTGTGTCAGTGTCATGGGCGCCAACAACAAGCCTTGGGTGACATGGGAGCATGGGAGCGTGGTGCCTGGATTTCTTCAGAAGGGACTGAGTTGTCACCACATCACTAGTCACTACCCTGTGAGTACTGCCTGTCTGGGTCACTTGCACTGACATGTTGGAAGATGTGACTGGATGCAGTTACTGTAGGGACAATGAAAAAAAGGAGTAGGTGTTTTCCACATCTGATTTTATTTGTGTGGCTTTGGAGGGTTTTATCACTTATAAGTTATTATTATGCTCTGGTATTCATCATTTATAGTCATCCTGCCATTCAAAAGCAAGCGTGTAAGGTTATCTGGTGATGTAAAATTGACTCGAAGGGTGAATGTGACCATGCATGTTGTTTGTTTGTCTTGCCTTGTGATGGACTGGCAACACATCCAGGGAGTACCCTGCCTCTTGCAGAAGGACAGCTTTGAAAGTCTTCAGTCCACCCAAATGACATTAAACTGGTATAGAAAATTGATCAATACATTTATTATTATGCTGGGGATATTAAATTGCAAGCTTATTGTGTATGCCCCTTTATTTTTCTCTTGGAAAATAGACAAAACAGTCAGCATAGTCTCCCCAGAGGGCACGTAATTGGTAAGTTTGTCCATTGCACATAGTTGTGTCACAATGCATGGATTCAAACTGAGAGAGTGCAGCATATGACTTGATGGTTGTTTTCTTTAAGGCAGGGTTCACATGATCTGACAGGTAACAAGACATATATCTGCCTGAAATATTAGAAAGAAAAAACTCCAGCAGAAGGGATGAGCAGCTGTAGGCATGTGTAGCCATTTACAAATCACTCAAAAACGTAAGTATTAGATTTGTAAAATTTAGATGATATGGTGAAACAACCCTTGGAAATGTTCAATAAATATGAATCAATGTAACTGTTTCTTTAGCTTAAAAAAAGGTGTGTCAAACAAGATATTGGATACTGTGAGATCTCCCAGAGATATCCAGTGTTATTGTGACACAAATACACATTTTTTTACACACATACTGCACATACACAAACTCAACATCCAGCTGTCCTTACTGCAACACTTTCACAAACCACACAGGCTCGAGTCCCTGCGGAAATGCTCCGTTTTAAAGTGGTAAACAAGGGCTTCCTCTCAGGAATCATTTGCAAGTACAGATAGCCTTGAACACACCTGTATTAAAATTAGTTTTAGGTCTTTCACTGGGACTTAATCAGTTCAATCACAACCCTCATAGCATAATCAGTTCTCCTTGCAATCTACTTGCTTGTTTTTACTGTCCAAAATCCACTTAATTTTTACTGTAGAATTTCAATAAAGATCTAAGTAAAATTATAGGAGGTGTGTTGAACAATTGATTTGGTAAAAGCAGAATCCTTGTCACCACTATCACATTAGCACCTGTGCCTTTGAGGCACCCCTGCAAATAGCCATTGTGCAGCTGATTGGTTATTTATGGCATGCAAAGCAGCTGTTTTTTATTTTTAACTTTTGTGTGTGTGTCTGTGTGGATGTATGTGCCTCGATGAACATACCAGATATTTTTGGGAAATCCCAAAAGCATAATATGTCCTCTGTAATGGATTACGCAAAGCAGACAGTGAAATCTCAGGACATATGTACTTATTCAGTGTGTTTGATAATTTTTTTCTGTGAGGACAGGATGTGGAACTCTTGATATCTGTTCGTACTGCATTACCTACAGCCTGGAAGAGATTTTCAAAACTAAAAACGTAATTTAAAAGCTAATAAAAAAGCTTAGAACTCCATTGGAATGAGTGCACTCTAATCTTCAGACCCAAACACTCTCTTAGCCTAAACTCACTTGTGTATCACACATATACACAAACACCCACACAAGATATGTGTTCATTGCATTCTAAGCTGAATGTGCCGTGGCTCACTATATTTTATTGAGTCACTCTCAGGTCAGCTCTCCCTGCCAAACAGCAGTGTACACAGAGTTTTTCTTTCGTTTCGTCCTGATATCAGCACAGTAGAGCTCTGTGCCAAAGACTTCCTGATACTTGTGCTGGTGGCATTCAACATCCCTATGACTCAGTAGAGCCAAAGCAATTTTCCACAACATCTCCATATCTTTAAAAATCCCAATCAGCTGGTCCTATATGCATCTTGACCTCAACTCTGCTGCTTTTGCAAACAGCAAGCTACTTAAATCCCTCTGGAAAACGGGGTAGTGTGACTTTACACAATGGTTCGTGGCCACACTTGTGTAAATGTTATGGATCATTATTTTGCTTGAACAGTTTGTTATTCAGGATGTAAGCTTCAAGTTCAATAGGAGGGTGGCATTTATTCCAGCATAGTCCATTTTAAACTGCTTTTAAACTGAAAAATAACATCAATATCATCCGTCATGACACAAGAACAGCATACTTCATGCTCAAACTTAAATGTGAGGTGGTTATACCACACCCCCTGCTGAGTACACATGGTTTCCTGCCAACAATAGCACAGGGTGTTGCCAAAATACATAAAAAAAAACACTCTGTGCCTGACCACCTCGTTTCTTACTTCAGGTTGAGCTAGACCACCTTGGTGCTTCAGTCCACGAGAGTAGCACTTCATCTGTTACTCATCAAACCATTGCAGGTACTCTGTGGTGAGACAGATTTTATGTTCCTCCTGTGAACACTGGGTTTTTATTAGATGGAAACTAAACATGTTGCATATGACATAGTTAGAAGAGCCATTTCAATAATGCTTTCATGCCTGGCAGTGGCGGCCGGCCCATAGGGGGCGCTCGGGCGCCGCCCCCCCTAGATGTGGAGGGGGAAAGTTATAATATATATATTTATTTTTAAAGTATTATCAATGTCAGTTTTACTTAATGATATGTGGCTACATGTAATATGAATTATTAAAACAACACTTCCACCAACTGACTCTCATTCAACAGTGCATTTCCACCCACAGAACGTATCGTTTCTCTTCTGGGGCGCTAACCTCAAGCGCCCCAGAAGTGCAGCGAAATAACCAATTGAAAAATGTTGCTAGGGAAAATTAATAAATATTTGGCCAATCAGCATCGCCGAAATTATTGGCTTTGGGGCGCCTGGAGCTGGCGCCCCAAAGCCATAGACGTGTAGCTATTGGTCAGTCAGGCTGTGACGTAGAGATGACGGCGACGGCGACAGTTGTAGAGCTGCTTTCACATAATTCAATGAGATCTTTACTGAGTTCTCCTTTCGTGAGAAGGACAATGGTGGAAAAATTAAACGTAAAGAAGCTGGGACCTGACAAGTCCGAAATAAATTTAACGCAGCGAACCAATGAAAAAGCTAAGTCCTACAGCCGGCCTTTTAGCAGGAGCTGGTTCCAGCGTGAGTCCTGGCTGACAGCCGGTGGGACGGCCAATTATGTTTTCCCCGCATCCCTTTAAAAGTGACCGGAGTTATTTGACTTGGACACAGTCTGGACAGACAGACTTAAAACACCTCTCTGAACAACTAAGAAACATGAAAGATCACGAGTTCATATGGAAAACCGTGTTAAGCTAACCACCTGTGTACTTTGTGTGTTTGGTGACAAATAGTAAAATTGAGTGTTGTATTTCATACTGTTCCTTTCCAAAATAATACCTAATATAGCTTCAAATGGTTAACTGTATATGTAAACTGCTGATTCTGATAAGGGAATTAAATCATTATTGTGGAATTGTACTAATTTTACAACTTTTAACTTGAATGCATGTACTGGGTTAGGCAGGGAAATATATTGGCACACCAGCCCCACCAAGATTTTTTGTCACCAGCCGCCACTGATGCCTGGATATTAGAGGGATTGAAGGGGGGAGTAACTCTTTGATAAAGTTTTGCCTGGATTCATTTGGTTGAACCTACATCAATTCTCTGAAAAGAAGACATGCCATCTCTATTTAAAACTATGCTGGTCACATAAAGATATATGCTTTACCGTGTGTTAATACATTAACTGAAAACTGATTTTTTTTAATAGACATGTGGTTTATTATTGGTTTGTCAATTAGTATAATTCTGTTTGGATTTGCTCTGTTTATTATCCATATTCAAGAACGAGTGTGCTGCAATCCAGGCTGTTGATGCATAGACAGTTTTATCCATAGGAATGAGTTGAGAACAGGGTTACCATTTAGATTCAGTGTTTTTCTTTTTTTCTTCATTAAGTTAAGGATGCATAGGCGATCAATAGCTAAAGAATGAATTTGCATATTCAGTAGAATATTTTTGTGACAGATATAGGAAGACATTCCAGATTGTTGATCTTTAGTGAGATGTCTGAAATGTTGCTTTGTACTTAGGTTTGCTGTTAAGGATATCAAAATGCTTTGGAAATGTGAACGTGCTTTTTGTTTTGTCCTATTTTGTACTGCATGGCCGCCGTAGATTACTTTGCTCACTGCCCTCATATCTGCTGATGATGACGTTATACTGCAGGTCCTGGGCTCCAGTTCTCGCGAGGTTATGGAAAACAATCCAGACGCCCTCCTTCGCTCAGTTCCCCTTTCCTCCCTAGCCCTCCCTTCCCACGCCCCAGTGCGCTGTGGGATAGTGGCACTATAAAGTATATCCTCACTCGGAGAAAGATAAGAAGCCCGAGACAGGAGGGGGATGAAGATGGCGGACGCCAAGCAGAAGAGGAATGAACAGTTAAAGCGATGGCTGGGCTCGGAAACGGATCAGGAGCCTCCTGTGCTGAAAAAGAAGAAGACGAAGGTGAAGTTCGATGATGGCGCCGTGTTTCTGGCCGCTTGCTCAAGCGGCGATACTGAGGAGGTGCTCCGTATGCTTGACCGGGGAGCTGACATCAACTACGCCAATGTAGACGGTCTCACCGCTCTCCACCAGGTTTGTGTTTGGTTGCCTACAGTGTTAATGTCATTCATCTACACAGCTGGCACTTTTATACATACATATTGGTGTACTGCTAGCGACTGTTTTCCCTGGAACACCTGTCAAATGGAAGCCATTCTCATCGCGTTGTTTACTTACCTAACGCACTCTTTAGTTTCGACGCAGAAGAGCAATGAACCCACTGTCTTCTGTCTGTGCTAATTTACATTGTAAACTGCCTTTACACAGTTTATAAAATACAGCTGGGAATAAGCAACTAAGTTAAACGCTGGCCTTTCTGAGCAGACCACTTTTTGCCACGATACCGAGGCATATTCTCAGCCTCTGGGTGCAGTCTAATTGCTGTACTGCTGCATTTTAGAGTCAAACGTTGTCATTTCTATTCTGCGAATACTTCAAATTCCTTACAGTCTTGACTATTTCTCTCAATAAGAGATATTATTCAAAACAATGTAAAAGGGAAGATGAGCCTGCCAGTCTTGTCAGGTGTAGATGTTGTCATTCTAAGAGGTTGTATTTCAGGCGACTTGGTTACAGCAGTTGACGGCTACTACCTGGCTAGCAGTAAAAGTCGTTTTGTTGATAAATCCTCGGCTCAGCAGCGACTGAGACTACTCTCTGGGGGGAATCAGAAACTGTCTACTTTCCAAGTCATTCTAGCTCAAACCATTGGTTCAACGTAATAGTTTGAAGCATGCGAGTTTTTTATTTCAGATTTCCAGTTCCTTACATCAATATTTAGTGCGCTGGTGTTTACTGTGAGCATATATTAAATGTTGTAAGCTAACATTACATTAGCATGCTACGATAACTGTTAGCTGTTAGGTGGTTTAGCTTGTGGTAATTCATTCGCTAGCTGGCCTTAGAAACGACGTCAGTGATAATTCATGGCCACGATATTTTAAAGCGAGTATATATTTTGTTTTTCGACTCAACTTGAAACACGTATTTAGTTGATTGCGTGCCTTAATGCAGGAATGTCAACCGTGTCAAGCTAACTATTCGCCCGCTAACCACGGCTGCTATGTTCACTAGCTTCTGTGTGTCCAGTATTACTAAATTGATGGAAATTATACCAAAACAAGTGACTAGGAGCCCAAAATGGGCAACCTAGTCCCCTTTTTCGATGAAATGGAGATCTCGTAATGTATATTTACGCCCAGTCGACAAATAGTTTAACAGGTACAAAATAACCACCAAACTTAATGCAACAATCTTGTGATAAAACCTACCTGTATGAGCCTGATGTTTTATTCTTGGTGAAAAATCTCGTAAATCTGTATTTTATAATCTCATTTCAGATAGTAAGGTTAGACCATTTTCTTTTTCAATATAATTAGATAACGCCGCAAATTAAATCCTCCTCAACTACATTAATTTGAGTATCCAAGCTCTTTGGAATATCTTCAATATTACAATGACAGTCCAGAGGAATTTTAACAAGACTGTCAAGACAGTAAAATCTGTATGGCCAGCTTTTTGTCACACGTGCAAATCCCCATTGCCACTCGAGTTTAAATCAAAGCCTTTAACTCACTTTCTCCCCTTCGTTTTTATATGTTTTTTGCACTGAACTGTCATCTCTACAATACCCTACTCCAGGTTCATGTTTGTGTCTCTCCCAAGTGTTTTTTATCTGGGTGAAAAAAAATGGAAACTTTATCGGTACAGTAAACTTCCCAAGAATTATTTAAGACAAAGAACTCCCCAAAAGCCACATAAGAGAACTCCTATGATACAAGTAATGCATATTAAGGCAGATTTGTCAAATGTTCAGCCCCATCAGAAACTGAAGAGTAACTATAATAGTAACGTTTATATATTGGGACTAAACAGGACATTGTGTCCCATTCATGACTTTGGGAGACCATATTGATGTAGTGGAAAAGAATCATCACAAATCAAGACACGTATTCTCGTTCCATGTTTCACTGTGGTGTAGGTCATCAATGATGTCACCACATTGCTTATGTCCATGTATGCAGAATAAGATTTTGTATTGCTATTTGACGAACAAGTTTCCTGGAATATATTAATAGTTTTACCCTAACATGATTTTGATAGGAACAAAACAATTATTAAGGCTCTCCTGTCTGTGCAAACTCATTTGGTAGAAACATTGTCTGTTTTGGGGCCTCAGTCCAGTGTTTAATAAGCTACAGTGAATAAATTATTTATAGTGCTGCTTTTCCATTCTAACATTCTCGAGATCTGAGGCCAGTATTAGTGTCTTTATGTATGTAACGTATGCATGTGTGATACCTTGTTCTGAGCCTATGTTGGTCTTCTGTGATGGAGTTAAGGTTAGATGACCTGTCTCTCTTCAGTTGCCTTTTTGGTTTACTTATGGCAAACACATTAAAGGAAAATGATTTTGAGTCTGAGTTACTCTGCCTTTATTTAAAAAATGTGTCATGTTGTGACATGATGGCTCAGTCCTCATTTGATGCAGCAATATCTCTCCCACTGCTGGTGACTAGAGCTTGGTTATAAATACCACTACCACAAGTTCTCCTAACTGGGTTTCAGGAGATGATGCTAATTTAGGTTATGACTCACAGTCTGTAGTTTTGTATTGTACTGCTGCCCTGGTATCATTTAGGCAAGAGGTTGTGTCTGCATATGAGTCACAGACCTTTAGTCAGTTTTCTTTGAACGACATTATAACATGTCCGGAAACTGTTGTCTGAAAAAAAAAAAAAAAAACCCCAATGTGATTGCAAGAACTTTCACCAAAATGTTCACAGACAGCAGAAACACTAGTGGATTTTGGAGAGGATCTACAAGGGAAATGAGGGATCCAGTTAATGTGTGGTGATTGCAGATCCCCTTCTCATTCGTTAAACTCGTCTCTGAAGGTAGCATTCCAAGTCCTACCGTCCTAGTTCGGGCATTCCTCACATGACGGTTGCTGGAAACCATAGCAATAAGAGAGCAGAGAAGACATTCCTCAGCTGTCACCTAAACCCCTCCCCTTCAGTCACTCTCCCTCTGGCCTGACTTTTCCTTTATAATGCCAAGGGCCAGCTCAGTATACCCACTGAGCTTTACCAGTGGAGTAGAAGTAACCAGGTTTTGTCACTTCTATTATAAAATCCCCACACTGACCTACACCTGAACCTTTCTCTTGCACTTACGGCCTTTGTTGATCCCAGGGACTTGTGGAAAGGCTTAGTTCAGTCCAGGCTTGCATGTTAGAGTTAGACTGTACCGTACTGGCATTACATACTGGCATTATGGCCCTAAAGTGTATGAACATTATCTTGCACTGTCTCCATGACAACGACTCAGAAGGCTGCTAGTCACTTGTGTTGGTGGATTTGCATGGACCGAGTGGGAGTTGCATAACAGACTGTACAGAGACAGTCTTTGGCAGTGCTAAACAGTATGACATGAAAATGAACATTGCAAGTTTGTAATGGAACAACTGCAGCGCAAGTGCTGGAAGACGATGAGATGGCTGTGTTTCTTTTCATCCAGACCAGCATCAGTCTTATTAATACATTACATAATTGTTGTGGATCTCACTGCCTCTCCAGCCCTGAGATTCTCAGCTGTGCTTCAGGCTTGCAGTTGGCCAGTGAGAGGAGCGGAAAAAAATGATTTCTTTGACACGTCCCTGTCCTCCCGATAAAGGCAGCGTGGCATCCTCTTACGAACCCCAAATCCTCCTGTCTCCCTGCCTAAGGGAAGAGGTCTAGCTGAGACGGCTAAAAAACGTGCATCATTGTGTGAACAGATCTCCCTGGTTGCTCTCACCTGTCCTGCTACCCCACTATGAACATACATTCAGGTTAGTTACTTGGGAGGAAAATAAACATCAACAGTATCGTTAGTTTTGACATTTGCTCGATGATCTGTCTGAAGTGGAACTCCCACATGGGATGACTACCAAGAATGAAACTTAATGATGGGATATAATGCAGTATGATGATTTTGGCAACTTTTGGGATTTTTATTAATACAATTTTTAAAACACGTACCCATATGACAAAGGAAAACTCCATTGAAGGTAAATTTGTTTTTCAGGAAGTATTTTTAAAGTGTTTGTCAAGCCATGCCTTTTAGCACGTGTTGGTATCAAAATGATTGAATGTTAGTTAAACATTTTCCTTAAGAGTTCCTCAAGGAGAGACATTTTTAGACTTTAATCATGAAGTGATGGCTAAGGTAGTTCGGAAAGCATTTGCCTTGATTTGGAATCTTATTTACAGTTTATCACTCATATGTATCTATACATTTTTCATATAATTCTTAATTATTTTCAATTGGATCTACTAAATTAGCTTCATAGTTATTGGCTAGATGACTGACTTTGAAGGCCTGCGTGTCATAGTTACTTGCATATTGTGTGGTGGTATAATAATCACATTACTAGATAATATTGTTACATTTTTCCTTTAAACATGAAAATGACCCCTGTTCTTTTAAAGTTACTCATGTTGCAAGATAAATGCAACACAATAAAAAGGTTCCACATGGCTGACTGGCTATTGTTTAATGCCACCTTACATGTGTTGAGACAGAGTCACTCATGCATTTCTGACATATTGCTGAATATATTAAAATGAACTTAATAATTCATAGTCAAACCCAATACATATTTTATTGTTCTTTGTCTGACTCAAACCCCTTTGAAGCCTCTTTCTACCTTGAATATGAATATCCACAAAGGAAACAAGTCTGTGTAGAGGTAAAACGCAAACCATCCCATGAAAAGGAGAAAGGTTGTGAGTACAGTTGGTTTGTTTCCATGGACTTATCATCACTGAAGGTGTTTCAGTGTCAACTGATCTTTTCTCAACTGACAGTAATGTTTTGAATCTTATAGCTACCTCTGTAGTGTAGATGCACGGATATGAGACAACAGAGACACCCTACTAAAAACTAGAATTACAGGTCATCAGGTGTGACGCCAGATTCCAGTCTTGAGTGAATTATTGTAACACTGTTAAGTTTAGCCTGTTTGATAACTGAGAGTGTTAATTTAAGAA